CGTTATGTATCAAATGATTTTGACAAACGTTTTTTTTTGTTGTATGATGCTATGTATCAAAGCAGTTCACGATGGTTACTCCACCATTTCAATTTTTGAAGTTTAGAAATGCAACCTCTCATTTCGCAATCACCCCTAACTGCCAAATTAGAAATTGTAAATACAAATGGACCTGTCCGACTTGCCAATGATTCTTAACTTTGGAAAAACACTGTATTACTACTATACAGATAATATATTGAGGTCACAAATTAACATAAAAGGGGATCATTTTCAGTACTTTTTGATAAGAAAGACAATAGGGGAGTGAGCCGCTACGTGGTAGGAGATCTTCATGAAAAATTAAAAATAAAACTTTTTTTCCACTTCTATTCGTAACTAATGTTGTTATTGCAGTTTTGTCCTATAAGGACATTTTCAAACAATTATTTTTTAAGAAACGTACCTACAAGAAACAACAAGTATATTCCAGTTTTCCTCCGGTTTATGCCAATGAATCTTTAAAACGTTCACTATTCACTTCCTGAAATAAAGTTTCTTTACAAATTCATTTCTTACATTACGGAATGGAATGGAATAGACAATAGTTGTGGAATTTCAATTAAATTTCATGAATCCACACAAAAATCTAGGAGAGTTAAATCAGGTGAGCTAGCGGGCCATTCTAAGGAACCGTTCCTACCCGTCGGTTTTGATAACACTCATCCTTCTTTGTGTTTTTCAATTATTCAAACTGGATTAAGTTTTGAATTTATTTTTTTTGAAATTATGGTATTTTTCGTTCGTTTGCAAATTCTCGAAACGAATTAGTAACTAGCAAAAAAGACGCTAATTACTCAGGAATGGCCGATCTGATTCCGAAACATAAAACAGTTTTGGATAGAGAATCAAAATACTTATCCAATGAGCTAAAAGGAGACCCACATTTTCAATAAAAAGTTGATACTGCCTTTTGGTGACGAGTGACGAACTTTCTTACTGAATGGTAATGAAAATGATGCCTTTTTACGTGAATTTCATCCAACTTTGATATGTTTTCCTGTTTAAAAAAAGAGAGAAGCGAACTTTCTACTTCCGCCCTGTGTAAGTGAGAAATCTGGTTGCGAATAAAATAGTTTTGAACTGTTTTATTTGTTTTGAAAGCATAACTTGCGAAAATTAAATATTTCTTTAGTTAAAATGAACCACAATAAATTATTGAATCGACGTTCTAAATTTTCTTAAATACCTTCTGATCATAATAAAACACTCACAGATTATAAGGAAATCATCGAGTTATTGATAATTTGGTGGTTAGTTCATTAACCATTCGATTGAAACGCCAGGTCAGCTTTTTTGTGAAATTTGTAGAATATAAATAAAATCTATCTGGAAGCATTATTTGGAAAATTTAGTTTCATGTAATGTGTGCGTAGTTTATGTTTTTATTCACGTTTCCTCTAACGCAAGTTTGCCAGCTTACGTTTACTTCACAAAGAAAATTTGCGTTTCTTCAATGTTTGTATCGGTCAAATGAAAATTTTCTCTGTAGTTATCTCTCTTATCTCTCAATATATAAAGAGTCAATTTCTTTTATCAAAAACCTCTTCTGTCATGATATCTGACTGCAAAACTAAAAGAAAATTCACCACCAACACCAACTCAGTAAACACATCTGCAATTAGTCATTTCCCTACACTTCATCTTGCCGATCAAAACACTCATATAATAAAAAAGAATTGCGGGCTCGTTTCCGGTCTGTAATAGCCAGATAGGTAAGGTGGTCCGAGTGTTTATGACCAATGTTGCGTCTACAGAAATGCATTTCAAATGTTTATACCTGTTAACCCAAGTGATGAATCCGATAGGTACTATTTACCGAAATATTTAAAACAATAATAGAAAGGGACTCGAAAAACTTGTTCTTCAATTTTTCGGCAACAGACATAAACTACGTTAAGGAAAAGAAAGTTATTTCATTGTGAATTACTTTCGTAAAAGTGATACATTCTGAAATTTTTTATTTCGCTGACAATGTTTCAGGAAAAATCGGTAATTTCAATTATGAAATTATACAGATTGACATGAAAATGTTACTTTTAACTTCAACACCGTGGACACGTGAAAGCTTTTTCTGCAATTAAATCTGAATAGATTAAATGATTACTGCAGGCAATTTTGGAAAAATATTTTTTGTTTCATTCAACGATGAAATGGAAAGATTTTGGGACTATGTTTGACAGAAAAACTATTGCTTTCCACATTGGATCTGTACAAAACAACCGTATTTTAGGTCTGGTCTTGAAAACTTTTAACACTGTGGAACTGCACAAATGACTCCTCTGAAAAATCCAATATCTTTACTGAATTGTTTCGTATTAATTCAAAATTGAATTGTTATGAGAGGTCGAAATAGCTCTGTTTGGTGTTAAATCGCATAAACTCTATTTTTGGGCTTGCCGATATTTAATATTTGGATATGACTATAGAGGACAAAGCGGTATTCAGATTATGGATTCAGTTCTTGAGTTATCAATCCTCACGTCCTCTTCAAAATATTACGAAAAATATCTGAAACTAGACTTGTAGACTCGTGGAAGTGGTGTTTATTTCAAGTAACGGATGGTGCTGACTGATCTTACAAACTGACATCGATATATGGCCTGAAAAAATTGCTCTGAATATTGAAGGCTAAAGTTAGACATGGAGCTTTTGTACTCTCAATGAAAGATCCTTCTTGCTTATTGGTGAGATTTATGTATCCCACTACGGTGTACCTGCTTTTTTATCTATCTACCTTCGACTTGCTAAACTTCTTGAATCTCCTTAATTTCACCTTCGTCTTCTTGGATTTTGTGTTGTCCAGTTGTTGAAGAAACTGCTAATAATTCAACTTTCATTTTGATGATATTTCAGCATGCCCTCTCTTTGTTTATGATGTTGTTTTTCTTCTTATCGATGATGGTTTAAGAGTTACTAGAGAATTTTCCGTCGTCTTCTTCAAAACTACTTGCCCCACTTCTGCCACCAAAAACTTGTATTCTTTTATTCTATATTCTTTTTCACCGAAGATATGATTATTGGTTGCGATTTGTCAACAGTTACATATATCGGTTTAGAAAGTAATGAGTAAACAAATCTCTCATTAGTAAATGGCCAAATTAGGTGAATCCAAATGCCATAGAAAAAGAATTCGTGATGAAACTCCGAATAGTGCTGTTTCAATCCGCCTTGGGTCTCATCAGTGGTCCTGGAGTGAACCACGAATACGTTGCGGCATTCAACTGTCCATAAAGAACAAGTTTGAGAAATTGAAAGCTTTCTGGATACATGATTTGAAGAATTGCATCAATTTACTCATGTACAGTTTTTAAATCCCCTATTAGAGATATACAAACTCCACTAACAGAAAAGTCGACAAGCTTTTTCAAAAACTTTTTTTTTCTAAAAAGTGTATACAAGTGCACTTTGAGTAATGGTTCAAGCGGCCGCTTCCATTCCGAACTATTATAGGAAACGCGTTGCATCTGTTTTGAAGAGGTCGGCCGGATGAATTATGGTGGCAATATTGAATTTTAAATAGTGCGTCTGGCAGAGCATGGAACACGAAATTTATTGACGAAATTTAATATTTTGAAGTGAATAACCCTGTTTTGAAACGGGCTCTGGCGTATTATAGAAACATCGAAATAAATTATTAAAATCGAGCAGGCTACGAACTGCTTGATATTGATCGATTGATGTTTCCAATGTTTAACTTATGAAAAATAAGAAAAGGAAGGTTAGAGTCGTGTTGACGCGACTATTCAGAACATTTTTTTTTGTTATTTTTTTTGTAAACACTTTCAGAATTTGAAAACAATTAAAGTTATTTGGAACGAGCAAAAACTTATGTACATATTATTTTGGGGTTCCTCAAGGAATATGACCAAACTTTTTTTTGTTGCCAATATCGCTGAAATTTTGAAACTTTTCACTATTTGCGTATTCTAAAATGCTAGATGCTCAGAATTTTTGTACTGCAATTAATATAACCTAATCGTTATATGACATCTCATATGCTGAACACAAGAACACTTTTGATCTATAATTGTAATATACAACCCAAGTCTCACTATTTCCATTGAAAAAGTATCTGCATTCAATAAAATTCAGATAAGGATACTTTTTCTTCATTTGCTGGATCAGCAACTTCACACTCCCCTTTGTTGTTACGTCCATAATAGAAATACTTGATTAAAATATTCTTAGATTGTTTTAATTTCAGGAGAAATCATGATTGCTCTCCAGAAATATAATTTTTTTATTCTATCATTCTCGAAACAAGCCGAAAGAAAAAATAATATTACTGGCAGAATGTCAATGGATATATATTCTATTAATTTCAAATAATCGTTTATTTGTTTCAAAGAAAATATTAGTTGATTCAAATAACCTGTTCAGTTGATCCAAATAAACTTCAATGTGCCTACTTAATAAATTAGGTGTGAATTTGCGTATCTGTCAAGGTTCCAGTAGTACTTAAAGTACTCGTGATATTTAGCCGACATTAGTTAGACACTATTTCCATTGAAAAGTTATTTACATTAATAAAATGTTAAAGTGGATACTTTTTCATGGCTGGATTAGCAACGTCACACTTTATTTCGTTATCAGGTCCATAATATACATAGAGAATCTTGAAATAAAAATTCCATAAGTGTTTCAATGTTTTTTTCTCAAATTTATCTAGTCCTATTGCCGAAGAGCAATGTCAGAAAAAATCAATTTTACTTTTTTATTGTCGACACAAGTATATTTTCCTTTGAATTGAAAAAATTATGATATACTTGGACGAAGTAATAGTTTATTTGTTTCAAAAACCTGATTTACTTGATTTAATTAATGAATGACTTGATTGAAACAACTAGTCTATTTGAATCAAACAAACTTTATTTTTGATCCAAAAATTTGACCAAAGTGTGAAGTTGTGTGTCCGCATAACTTCCAGCAGTGCCTAAATTTGATGTTTTGCTAACCAGTTGATCCCCGCACGGCGGAGTACTTCACCGAAGGTAGGGAATGTGTGAATTGCGGGGCAATCGACACCCCGTTGTGGCGCAGAGACGGCACCGGCCATTATCTTTGCAACGCGTGCGGCCTCTACCACAAGATGAACGGCATGAATCGGCCTCTTGTCAAGCAGCCTCGCAGATTGGTACATTTTTTCAGTATTTTATTTTTGGTGTTTAATCATCGAATCATTTGTGTGACCGAACGATAATGGGGATTCATTGCAACGGCTGCATGTTATTGTGGAATACGTTTCGATGAAGTTGAATCGAAACGTAGATTTTTTTCAAACTGATGTTTTTAATGCATGCTTAAGAAAATTTTTTGAGGATACTCTTACATCTGGGTAGACTTAGTGGTAATTTCAGTCACTATAACATTGGATCCTACCTATCATCTACTTTTGAGTCATTAACAGAAATTTTCTTCAATATACTTTATGAATATATCGCTATAAATATAGCTCTTTATACCAGTGTCTATGTCACCTATGGAAGATTCAGAATACAGAATATAAGGTCAAATCCAAGAAGAGCAAATGAATTGATAGATACTAGCAAGTTGATAACGGCATTGTGCATTTATGTCCAACAATATACCACTAAGACAGCTAGTTCAATGAAGACATTTGGTTCAAAATAAAATTTAAAGAAGTTGCCTGTATAACAAATGCTGTATTTTATCAACCAAACGTAAAGTTCCATTTCATGTCTTGTTGCTTTTCATAGAAATGGATCTCGTTTTGAACTCTTTTGTCACAATTTTGCTATCCAATAATCTACTTCTCACTTGGTTTATTATCTACTTCAGTTTTTTTCAGATTCATATTTCTTCCAATCCTTGAAGTTTATATTTGGTTTCATTTCATATATCTTAAATTTTTCTTTCTGTTTTCCCAACAGTTTCCTATTCAAAGAGGAATAGAAAGACTAGGATTCATACGTCATAACTTTTCAATTGAAAAAAAACTGCTTTAGGTATGATATGAGTACTTTTTCTTCGACATCCTTTTTCTTCAATATTTGGAAAAACTTCAGTAACTTGTTTCGTTCATCAGGTGGGGAATAATAGTTTTTGAGGACCCAAATCCTACAAGATACTTCAATCTGATTGAGACGCCATCAATGGTACTCGGTTGTGTCAAGAATGCAATGTTCCAAAACAATCCTAAGTGATAATAGAGCATGACGAATGTTTTCATCTAGTTTTCAATGAATGGTGTACTGAATAGTCATAGCAACTTGTTAACATGTTTCTGTTGCATTCGAAAATCCAGGCGAGTACCATCTGAGAAAAACCAAATGGCGGTGATATTGGGTCATTGGGCTTCGGTTCATTCATGTTCATTGACGATGATTTTGGTTTCATTTGAATTTTGTCTTCAGATTATAATTTCGTTAATATCAGATAATATTTAATACCAAATGAAACCTGAATGTTGTGGGAAATTTTGTGTGGTGTTATTTGAAATTGTGTAGTTTTCGTAAGAACACTTTTGTTCAATTTGTAAATTGAGCATATGCATTTCTCTAGAATCAAATAAACTTCTTATACAGTGCGTCAATAAAGTGCGGTATGAATTCATAATTAGCTAGATGAACAATATCAATACTGATTTCGGAAACACGTCAATTTCTCCCTTTGATCAAATGAATAAAAATATTTTTGTCTAATTACCACTAGTTAATTTTATTCATACGACTGGTTTTGGGTTTAACCCCATAGACAAAAGTGTTTTTATTCATTTCATCAAATAAATCATGAATTACTACAAAATAAACAAGTCAATCATACATATCACGTCAATTTATGATTATAAAATGAAAGTATTCAGACATAATGTTAACTCATTTGGAGTGACAGAAAGTTTTGAATCGTACGTGTTCGTGTGACAGCATATTTAAAAGGTTTTTTTTCTATCCACAAAATTAAGAATTTTGAATTTTTTATGGTGCACGCCACTTCGACGAAATATCTCAGTTCCAGAGTCAATACTTTTTCCAGTTGAGCTACACAAATTTTGTATTGGAAGAAAGATTGTTTTCATTTGATTATTTTTTATCCCAAGTCTGCTATAGAGAAAATAGTTACAAAATGGCATGAAACATACACCGGAAACAAAAGAAGCAATTTTTCAAGAAGGTCCTTTTTACCGTCAAGAAGTGAGTTATATTTTTCAACAAAAAATTCACAGGAAATCAAAAAATGTGTATAAAGAATTGAACACCCCTTCAAATGAGCTATCACACGAATTCAATTTCTATTTGAAAGTTCTAAAGGTATGCTGCTTAATGTCAGCATTTTATAATTGGAAATTGATGTGTTTTAGGAAGTTTCATTAATTTTTTTTGACTAGTAATGAATTTCAACGTTACTGCATGAACGTCCTGTAGAACTTCCATCAAAAACGTCAGTCACCATTAATACAAAAGTATCTTCTTCATGCACCGTGAAATTACAATACTGACAATGATTTTGCAATAAAGTTAGTCCATTATGAATTATGTAAAAAAGAAAGCTTGGATAGTAACATGTAGGTAATACATATATGTACCCATTATGTTGCTGCTCAACGAAAACTCACATCGTTCGGTCACAAATACATAACGCATCTCATTAATTACACAAAAAACACCCCCGATGTGCGAGGCAAAGCTGCTGCGAAAAAATTGAAAAGTTTAAAGCCGGTTCCCTTTCATATTGACAAAAAATTTAACAAATCTAACCCCTGTTTTGCCTTCCAGTGGCGGCAGAGCCAGGCCACGGGGGTGTTCCTGATTACTACAAGAACTACTATGGGTATAATGGGGTTCGAACCCCCGTGCACACCACCGAAGAGAAATCGAATCGACGTTTGGTAGGTTCCAGTTTCAAATTATTTCAAACTTTCCGCTTTTTTATCGCTAATATTCTATCTCTTTCTGTAGTATCTCTTCGCTATTTAGTAGGACGATTCAAGACGTTGATAATGCAAGGGCGTAGTCTAGGGGGGTTCAGAGGACTCAGAACTCACCCCCCCAAAAAAGAATAGTGTTGCTTTTTATGCGATTAATTGTTTTTGTATGGAAAATTATTTCAACTCGTAATCAAAACAAAATCTCATTCTGACAAAAATATCTCATCCCTGTACCCTCTGAATTCTGGCTACGCCTTTGTGGTAGTGATATGACTTGTGCGTCACAATCATGACTTTTTTTAGATGAAATTTTTCATACATTTTATTTTCATCAATAACACCATGTCATGGTGTTATGGATTTGTATTTTTCCAGATTTCCAGACAACACACAATAATTTTGATAATTGAAAGGGGTATATTTTTAGGAGAGAATAATTTTTGGATTTTGGCTTTCTACTTTTCCACCTCGATACGAAAAAAAGTGTGAATCTTCCAAAGAAAGGAAGAAAGTAATCAATTTCAATAAAGTAACTCTCCAGAAATATGTTTAGAGCATGCAAAGAAGTAACTTTCAGACACAAACTGGAATGAAAAACACTTTCGAAACAAATACTTTCATATGAACATTGAATTATACAAAAAATACGTTTGTCTATTCAGTTTGTGTTCTAAACATTCATTATGGAATCGAATCAGATATCATTCATAGGATTGCTACACAATATAGTCATCCTGTCATCCTCACTGGTAGACATCCGATTTTTCGCCGTGAGACAGTTGCCTTCACTTGCTCTGCAGTACCAAATCTGGATAACATAAGAAAATCACTCAATTCACTCATAAAATCACGACTTTATGTCATGGAATGAGTTTAATCTACTCATGTCATCGATGACAGTACGTAATGACATTCATTCCCCACATTTTTTTTTGTATCGAGATGGAGAAGTACAAAGCCAAAACCTTTCCTTCCAAATTTTGAAAATATTCAGTATAATCTATTTCCAAAAAATTAGAAATGCCTTCACTTAGTTCAGAAATTCTTTAAAGTCATGATCAAGTAATGTAAATTTTTTATTTCATAATTGTCTGTTAATTGTGTGCTGTACAGTGACTACATATTAACATGAAATAAACTTTGTCAAAACCCTAAAATCGAAAAAAAAAATACAATTTTCACTTAAAGTTGAAAGCTCTCAGCTAACCTTATGTGTATCTGAAAATGTTCATTGGTATTTCCAGCCCCATAATACCCTAGCAATGTATTAGTCTGTTTCACTTGTAAAAAAAGGTTTTACTAAAAGAATATTCCTGTTGACTGTCTACATATTCACAGTAAAAAAAGCTGTCGAACATGTCGAAAGTACACAGGAAAATATACCTAATCATGTGCATGTTGCGTAGTTTTGCAATAGGGCTTTTTCAAATTGAAAAGAAATTTCATAATTTTAACATAATTTTAACTAACATCTCTACAAGTAACAGTTTTTATTCACAATAAAATAAAGCTTTTAGAAGCCTTGTTAGTCCATCTTACTCGTATTTCTTCAAATTGATGTTTGAATTCGATTGAAATATCGACTTTAATCAAAATTTTTCATTTGTATCAATGTTGACTTCATCAACTTTTTCTTGAAGTATAAATTGAGAATTAATAAATCTTCGGAAAATATGTAACAAGGCTTTTATTTGCTTTTGAAATTATCTCAAACATGTGAAAGTTTAGCAAAATATTTGTTCACCTATCTATATAATTTCTTCTTTTTTTTAGTCGGCATCTCGACGTGCTGGTCTCACTTGTACGAACTGCCACACCAGCACCACGTCTTTGTGGAGAAGAAATACTCTTGGAGAGCCAGTTTGTAACGCTTGTGGTCTCTACTACAAACTTCACAATGTGAACAGGCCCATGTCCATGAAAAAAGATAGTATACAGGTGATAATTCCCTTTGTATTTCTTTGGGGTTACGAGGTACCATTTTCGGGCTATTCTTATGACTTTTGCACATGAAGATTCATAAAGATAATTTTATTTGCATTTTTCAGACCAGAAAACGGAAACCAAAAGGTAGTAAAGAAAGTAATTCAAGCAATAATCAAATGCCTAGAAATCTCACGACTTCATCCCTTCAATCAATCAAGATGGAAGACGTAGGTGTGAAATTGGAACATAATGCATTAGGTAAGATTTCATTCATTGAATTTGAATTTGTTCGAAATTTTTAACTAAGAAATATATCAGTTATTGTATCAAGTATCAGGTTCGAAATTAAAAACAGATTCAAATATAATTCATAGATTCTGAAACTGGCTGAATCACAAGAAACTATGGGATCTAGAGAAAACCTCAAATCCTTATCAATCAACGTCTGTTGCAAACTGAAGCTTCGACATTCATTTCAGATTAGTTCTCTGCCAGTAGTCAACACTATGAATCCAGAGCCCAAAAATAAAGCATTCGTGCTGTTCGCATCTGTGGTGCTATAGCTATAGCACCACTGATGAGACTAGGCTAAATCATGAATGTTGGACTCTGGAAGCAAGGTTTGAGTATTGAGCGGATCCCATGGATGCATAAGGAGCCAAGGTTGTTATAAGAAAAACATCACATTGCACATAGTAAAATTATAACATAGTGAATAAATAACATCACATAATGATAAAAATCTCGCAAACCAAGATGTGTGTCTTCAATGAAGTTATTGTGATTATCTTGATAATTTTTTCAAATAATACAAAGGGTGATTTATCCAGTTTGGCATATAACTGCTTCAGTAGTTGATTTTGAATGAGGTTCAGCTATCTGAAATATTGTTTTCGCTGAAAACAAGAATGATCCATGAGGATTTTACGATGTGACCAATGAGAAGGTGCAATTGCCTGGTGGCCGAAAGATCTACAGAAAACGAAGAAACGAAGCGAAGCTCTCTTGCTTACAGAGACAGGCTTGTTTGGCTATCAGTGGTGCAATCAGTACCACACCATCAGCGGCCATGGAGATCCTTCTAGACCTACCTCCTCTCCACATTTTTCTGGGGAGAGAGGCTTGATGGACTACATACAGACTTGTGCACATTGCCAATTGCACAAATCAATTTAATGCAACAGACTGTTGGTTGCCACTGGAAGTCACAGCATTCTGGAAATGACCTCTGACTTTATGCCTCCACCTGTCAACTACGAACTGCCTTATAAAGTACTATTTCCGAGTAGAGAGGACTGGATCCTCCGGGAGAAGGAAATATTAAGAGCAGATGTTGGTTCACAAATGGATCAAATACACCTTCCGGTTCTGGTGCAGGTGTTTTTAGTCGCAGACCTAGGACAGAGATATCTACCTGCCTAGGAACTTATGAGATTGTATTTCAAGCGGAAATTTATGCTACTGAATTGTGTGCGGAGAGATTGGATATATCCAACCTCACTCACAAGTCAATAAAAATATTCTCGGGTAACTCTTGGCTCCTACCGAGCAACGTCTAAATTGGTAGCAAATTGCCAAAAATGACTCTTCTCGCTAGGAATACTCAACAGATCGTCCTGGCCATACTGGCCATACAGTTGTTGGACTACAATAAGATGAACTACGATGTATTACTGGCCTTTTTACAGGTCACTGTCATTTGAATCATCATATGCAGATACTTGGACTGTCGGAAGACAGTGGGTGTTGCCTCTGTTTGGAAAATGATGTAACAGCAGAGCATATACTTTGTGCCTGCTCCGCTGGGGACCGAATCAGTTTCTTAGAGTTCGGCAGAGCCGTACTCTTACCATCTGACCTGAAAGACCACTCACCATACAAACTAATCGGCTTCGTTAAGAAGCTGAGTTTATTTGGCCGAGTGCGAATGGGTGTGAGCCACAATAAACCCTTGTGGGTTGCGGTAGAGGGTCGAATAGACCCATTCACTTCAGACCTAACCTAACCTAATGAGAAGGTTGGTTTAAATTTTACAGGTGTTCCTTAAGAAACTAACGTCATAATTAACTCATTTCAGATAATTACAACGATCTGAGATCGCTCAACCAAATCCACGCAGCCTCCTCTTCCAACTACGTCTACTCCACTCAGTCTCATCAACGATTGAGCCCTTACTCGTCTCACTCACCTCAAATGTCGAACGCTCAATACTACGAATCGCTGCTCCAACCGTCGACTCCTAGTCCGCCGTCCACCACCTCAGAAAGCCCGACGACGTCTCCCCACATCATCAACCTCAACAACAACGGCGCCAAAGTCATCATCAACGGCGAACATGTATCCATCGATCGGCCTACCGTAGTTTCGCTGTCCTCGTAGATTGTTTTACTTAGCTGGTCCCGAAATTTCGGGAGTGGGATAATCGTAGAACTGGGAGAGTGAACAGAATGATGGTGTTTTGTCAGAATGATGGTGGTTCTGAAAAAAAAACGGATTTAGTGATATTTCAACATTTTCTTGAATACTATCCGCAATAAAATAAAAAATGTATTGAAAAAGCTGATATTGTAAAAAACGATTAGGTGTTTTAAATCTTCCACAATCTGAAATAAAAATTGAAAAAAAATGTGATAAAGTGTAATAGCAAAATAGCTACTACAATATATTGTCTGAAAGGTATGAAGGCGATGAAGGATCACTAAAGATTTTGAAAACAAAATTACTGAATTCCGAGTTCAAAGTCAAAATTCAACAAAATCTTGAGTTCAAAGTCAAAATTTCATGAATATCCAAGTTTTGAGACGGAAATTAGTGAAATTTCGGGTTTAGAGTCGGATTTCAACAGAATTTCGAGTTCAAATTCGAAATTCAATAAAACTCCTGTTTTAAAATCTGAATTCACAGCAAAATTCCCAATTTGAACTGGGAATTTAATGAAATTCTAAGTTTTGACTCGGGATTCAATGACATTTCTAGATCAAAGTCGGAATTCGATGAAATTCAGAATTTACAGTCTGAATCTAGTAAGAGTCCGACCTTGAAGTCGAAATTTAACAAAAAATACGAGACTGAAGTCTTATTTGAGAAATATTTTCTTTTAGTTTCAACCTCAATCTCAGAATTCTGAATTTAAACTCTGAATTCAGACTATTTTATTTGAAAGAATATTTGCGGCCCTTCAACACCTTCGTAGCTGAGTATATAAATGTTATTTCTTCAACATTTCAAGCCATCTATAATTAGACTCTTCAGAAGTCAATAACTTTATGAGTGACCTTTTCAGTTTATTTTTCATTGCACTCATGTTCTCTTTTAATCTAGATTTATTAATTTCTCAGATTGCGGAGGGTTGAAATAAAGTAAATAACAAGAAAAATCAACCCCTCTACAAAAAGTACCTTTCGAAGAATATATTTAGGTGAACTTTTGGCTGCATGTTAGAATATTCTGAGTAGAGAAACTGTTGTAGAAATCAAAAATGATTTTTGAAAAGAGTTACATTGGACAAACCAGTTAGTACCTGAAAGCACGGATGTTAGAATACACAAAATCATCTCAATCATTCTTGAAGAATATTGCTACCGATGATTTATATATCAAGTCCCATTTAGTAAATAATCCACCATTATTGTAACTATGTTCTTCTGGGACGAAACTTGAAAAGCGAGGAGTCGAAAATGAAAAATGTTTTCATCTGTAAAATAATCAATACTATTCCGGAACGACTTTTCTCATATATAGTTATTATATTCCCATTATTGGAAAAAAATTCTGATTAGAGGATATTTCTTTTGAATCTCACAATAACGTGGGAAGTAATGAAACATTTGAGAATCTAAATATAATTCAGTTTATATAAACTCAAGAATATAGAATAAGAAAGAAAGGAAGTTAGAAAAGAAACCTTCAAAATGATTCGAAAAAATCTTCAAATAAATTCAAAGAAATACTTTATATTTAGTTTACAGTTTACAAAATCACAACACGTGTGTTACTATACAATAGCTTCTATGAAATCTACTGTACAGCGAAGCACGTGTTTGGGTTTTGTAACCTTTTCAAGTTTTACAAGAGTACGTTATGGATTTTCATCGAGTATTGGCCCATTAGCAAAAGTTTTTTAAAAACACCCTTCAATGTTAGATTTCCGCTTTGAAGTTTTTAAAATCGCGACACGTGTTTCGATATAAAATAGCATCAATTATTAAATAATAATTAATGCAAAATTGGTTTCAGAAAAATACGAGAAATTGGGAAGTGAAAAAATTAAATCATACATTTGAAAGGTAGAATCTATGTTGTTTTCTGAAATTCATTTCTTGTGGTTTTTTTTGTAGAAAATTTCTCTTTGACGCAACCGATCCTTCAGTTTCTGATCCGTTAGTCTAGAAGTGTGATGAAAGAAAATTCAAACCTAATAAGTATAGGTGGATATACCTATGATATTTAAATACAAAATTAGAAAATCCTGCTCTGAAGTGAACATTTCAAAGTATCGGTAGCCCAAATTGTCTCAGTAGGAACTTTATATATAAAACACTGTAATCAATGTCAATTCTTCAGGAAATTTGTAGTTTGAAGGATCACTTGGAAATAAACACTGGTTCTTAGGTCGCAGATTCAAACATCTTTATAGGGGTTTTTGAGCATTTCTTCTTTGGTTTGAAAAAAAAAATATTGGAGCGTAAATCGCAAACATTTTTTTTCATTCTTGAGTTTTCACTGTTGTTTGTACAAAATAAATCCTAGTTAAAAATATGTTCACCATGGAAATTACTTTTCCAGTTCTGCTTCTATCCAAAACATCATTCAATTTTGTAGGACATTATTGTTATTGTATATAGAGTTTTTGGTACTTCAGAGTCATTGTATATATTTTATCGCAATAATTAGTTATTCTATTATATTATATTATATTCAAAAAATCGAGGATGGGAATGAAGTTCTACAATATTTACACCAATTTGAATAGAAATATTGTAAAACTAACTTCTGTGAATTCGCCTATTTTCATCTAATTCGTTTATTTGTTACAGATAGGTGGAAGAAAGTTTATTTTTTGGTGAAATATTTAACAGTAAAATGAATTCTCATCTTTTAAACATTGAATTTTTTAAAATGATTACGTTAATCTAATACATTTAAATTATATTTGTTAAGTATCTCGTCAAACTCAGAACTTTGTTTTAGATACATGACAATTTTTGGGGGATATCATTTCCAAACAATTTGGTATTCCAGAAATTCATTCGAAAGAAGTCATTTAATCTCAACTTATCAGGTTATGATGTAAATTAACTGAAGGTGGAGACGTGTGACTTTCAATATGAATGATCCATTTCGTATACAACGAAAATCTGAAAATAATGTTTGAATCTCAAGAAATAATTTATATTCATATAAATAAGCAAATATTTCCTATTATAGGGTTGGTATGTACGTAAATTAAGTTATTTCTATTCGATCACTTGTTATATGACCATATATCAAGTGGTGATATACAGATTGTAACAAACTGAAAATAAAATGATACATTGTTCATGAGTTCCTCTGCAACAGACATTTCAGATGTTACACGAATATTTGTAACCAAAGAATTCGATTATATTCGACAAAGTACAGGCTAGTTCTAAGTTACCAATCACATAAATCAAAAAAAATTGTAAATAATATATATTTGCTTTCTCTTCATCACTTTTTTTGACTGATTTCAACTGTACAGCACAAAATTTTCAAACTTAATCAAAGATTAAGTAGAGTGTCAATTCTAATCATGCATAGAATTAATAATTCGTTGAAATGCAAACGGTTGTAGTGAATTAAGTACATTTCATATATTCATTATTTATTATGATAATAAATAAAGTGGTCACTCAACGATGCATTCCTTAGCTTTGATAAAATTATTATGTACAGTTATATTTTATATACTAAATAATTTAGAGTCTTATTTGTTACATTTATTAATTTGTACAATATTAAGTAAATATACCTATTGAATATTTCCTAATAAAATATATTAATTGAGAAACTTGTGTGTATATTTTGAAAAAACAATTAGAACCACTTCCAATTTAAGCAGACTCGGAGTGCAACACATTGGAAGTGGTTGCTTTCCCAGTTTATAACTACCTGATAATTTTCTTTCGAATTATTATTTCAAATAATAATCCGGTCAATCTAGACACTGGAAGGTACATACATTTATAACAAACTGCAAACGCGTGTAATTGTTCAAAACATAGTTAAAAATGAGATTTTCAAATTCCGAATAATTGCGATGCCTGGAAAAAAATTTGTTCAAGGGCAAAGTTCAAAAATCTCGAAAAAAATTGGTTTTTCGCGATTTTCAGGAAAACGGTAAGTTTTATCATAAAATAACCTCAGATAAAAATTGTAGATCATAAAATCATAAAACAATATATATTCATGGTCGTGTCCAACAAATGGACTACAGACGATCAGAAAATACATCATCTGAGATTCAACTTATCCGGTATTTATCTTCGTTGGTATGAACAAAAATTCAGTGAATCCCGATCATTTTCTTGGGAGGAATGGAAACATTCCTTCATGGTGACGATTGATGGAGATAATATAATGAAATGGGATAAAGCTCTGAATTATAAACTCCGTCAAGAAACAATTCTCTCTCCGAAAATTCAGTTACTTCGCTATTGATATTAGGGATTCCCTACTACATAAGTAAACAAATATGCTATAAAGACATAATATCAAGAATAGAGCTACTTCAACTCATACTTCAACATCATACAACACATGAAAGAAACATGACAGATTTTCAAAATACGAGATATCCAGTAAATAACAAGCAAGAAAATAGGAACGGTCGACATTCTGAACATTGCAATTACAATCAATGTGATGAGTTTGTTAACAATGACGAAATTAAAAATTTCGAATCATACACCATATTTTCTTCTTCAAATTCAGAAAATCATGATAACATAGAAATTTTGTCCATTAATGGGCATCAATTGAAAATATTGTATGACACTGGATCTGATATTGATCTCATTAGTGAAAGATTTGTGAAAATATTGAACTTACCATATTTCAATACTAATGTTAATATAAGAAGTTTAGCTGGCATAACGAAATGTTATCATAAAACGATACTTGATTTGAAAATCAGAGGCGAAAACATTCAAATTCATCCTATCATTGTGGAAAATTTGTCATTCGACATATTATTGGGCAAAATTACATTGAGAAAACTAGGATTATTCAAGAGAACTTTTCATTTCAACAAGGTAAAATTTTCCGAAGAAAATTTGTTCTTGTAACTATGAAACAGATTTTACTTTGAGGGAAAACTCGAAATTTATATAATTGAAACCATATAGATTCTCTTTGAAGAAACAAGTTTGGATCAAGGATAAAATCAAAGACATGCTAAATCATGGTATCATAAAGAAATCCACTCCACCAAATGCCTCATCTCGCGTTATCAAAACAAAGAAGGATGGAAATTATAGATTGTGAATCGATTTTCGACAAATCAATATCGAAACTGAATTAGATCCTTTTCCATTTCCAATGATGAATGATTTAATTGAAAAATTCGATGGTTGTAAATATTTCACTAAAATAGATTTGAAAGACGCATTTTGGAAAGTGAGCATTACAGAAAATAGCAGAAAGTTTACAGCATTTGTAACGGAAGAGGGGCATTATGAATTACCATTCGGATGGAAGAATTCAAGTGCAAAATTTCAGAGAGTCATTCAGGATGTTCTTGGTGATTTATTGGACCAAAATGTAATAGCATATATCGATGATATTGTTTGTGGAGGTTACACTTTGGAAGAATGTGAAAATATTACTTTAAAAATTTTAAAAAAATTTTCAAACTTCAAACTTCAGAATAAACTTCAAGGAATGTTCTTTTTGTGTACAACAAGTGAGTTTTATAGGTAGAGAAATCGATGGAAATACGAGAAAGATGAAGAATGAAATCACTGAAAAGGTGAAAAGCATGAAAAGACCTTATGATATCAAGTCATTACAATGTTTTACTGGCCTCACCAATCATTTTGGAAGCTTTATACCAAATTATAGCAAAATTACACGTCCTCTGGAAGAACTAAAATGTAGAAACAAAAAATTTATCTGGACTCAAGAATGTGAAAATTCATTTGAGAAACTGAAAGAGATCATATCATTTTTGAGATTTTGAGAATCCCAGATCCTTGTTTGAAATACAAATTATCGACAGATGCTTCATATTATGGCTGTGCTGGGGCAATTCTCTATCAAAGAGATCCAAAAGAAATAAAGAATAGACAACTAAGAGTCATCAGATATCACTCTTATACTTTTTCAAAATGTGAGATGAATTATTCAGTGACAGAGAAGGAATGCTTGGCAGTGGTAAAAGCAGTGAAACATTTTCGCACCTATCTAAAGTGCATCCAAATCCAAGATAGAGTAAAACAAAACAAAACTTGATCGCCCAGTGTCAGATGGAATGGGCAGCGTTTATTGGTGGATTTACCTTCTTGTTACGAGTTCGGGACCAGCACAGGGTTGTAATCAGTCGTTTGCGTGTTTGTGTGGGGTGCGTTTTAGTATATTGTTTAAAATTGTTTTCCAAGATGTCCAGTACAGACACTGCTGATGACACTGTGAGCTATCCTCTGAGTCCAGCCAGGAAACGATCCAGAAAAAGACATTTGAGTGTTGAGATGAAAGAAGTGATTTTAAATGTGTTCAAGAAAGAGATGGAAGAAATTGAGACATCGACTGTCGACGAAGTCGTATCGAAAGTTTCCGATAAAATTGGAGTGTGTTGCGCTTCGATTTACAATGTTTTACGGGAATATAAACGAAATCATACATTTTCCAAACCGAATACAAATCAGAATCGTCAAACTATTATAAAATCAATAGATGATGCTGATAAACATGCAATCAGGAGGAAAGTGCATGAGTACTTTTTCAGAAATGAAATACCCACGATAGACAAAGTACTCACAGAAATAAATGAAGATTTTTATTGCCAAGTTTTAAGTGGTCAACATTTCATAGAGTATTGAAACATTTGAATTTTGCATGGAAAAAACGAGGGCGCAATAGTTTATTATTGGATAGAGGGGAAATTGTGTTATGGAAGAGAGAGTATTTGACCAAAATTAAATATTATAGGGAACAACAGAGAACAATTTATTATATGGATGAAACCTGGGTTAATGCTGGTCATACTACCCCTAAAGTATGGGTCGATGAAACTGTGACCTCATCTAGGAGGGCCTTTCTAGATGGACTATGCACCGGATAGTCTACCCCATCTGGAGGATAATGCTGTGATTGTAATGGACAATGTACCTTATCATTCGCGACGGTTAGAGAAGTTTCCGACAACGTCTTCAAAGAAGGTTGAAATCCAAAATTGGCTGCGATCAAAGAATATTAGCTTTGAAGACTCAATGCTGAGAGTACAGCTACTAAAAATTGTCAAGAAGCGCAAGCTTGAATACCAAAAATATATAGTCGATGAGATGGCAGCAGGCCAAAACAAAATTGTCCTTCGCCTGCCTCCATACCACTGCGAGCTCAATCCCATCGAGTTAATATGGGCGGATGTGAAGAATTTTGTAGCTCAGTATAACACCGCGTTCAAATTAGCAGATCTCAAAGTACTTTTTGATGAGGCTTTGAAAAGAGTCACAGCGGAGAAATGGGAGAAGAGTGTTCGTCCTGTGATATCGGAAGTTGAGACAAAGATGTGGAAGCTTGATAACATAATAGAGGCACAAATCGAGACACTGATAATTCAGATTGGTGAGGATGACACTACACTAATATTCCTTTTGATTTTACATAAAATAAAAATTATCAATGGAGAAATAATTACGTCTCTTTTCATATAATGCTTGAGTGCGCTGTGAAAAATCCAATGAAAATCTTTTTATATTACACATATTATCTGCATTTTTCACGTTAAACTGCAAAACTTGTACATTTCACTCGTTATTATAAAAAAGTTTTCCTAAGTATGATATAGCATTTGCGATCAACAAGATGTTGGTTCTGAATACGACCCTGGCCAATTCTTGGGATTTTCAATATCACGTGCGTAGGGCATGTCAATGTTTACATCCACTCTATCTTGGATTTGAATTTGCTTTAGAAGGACGAAATTTCAAAGTGCATACCGACCACCGTGCTTTAACTCAACTTTTATCCACCGGAGATCTGAGAGATAGATTGGCAAGATGGCAAATATTTTTGAGAAGTTTCGATATGGAGGTCACTCATAAAAATGGAAAAGAACTGAAGGATGCTGATGCCATATCGAGATTATGTATTGAAATACCCAACAATATTCAAGACTCTTTTTGGTGTAATTTGATTACTCAAGATTAGGAAAAAATAGAAGATGGCAGATATCAAGTTAAAAGCGAGCAGATGATAAACGAAATTCTAAAACTATATCATGACGATGTTATACTTCAGAAGGTCATGATGGGTATAATAAAACCTATTACAAAATCAAAGTTAGATTCATATGGAAAAACATGATTGAGGATATCAAATACTACACAAAAACTTGGAAGACATGCCAAATAGCAAAATTCAAATATTTACCAAAGCCTGACTTTGTTCATATCACTAAATGTTCTGAAAATTCATATGAAACCATACATGTAGATTTTGCTGAAATCCACCAAAAATCTGACTTGGATAAAACAACCAAATCATTCATTATTATTGTTGATGAGGCAACAAGATACATCTTAGCGAAAGCAATAAAGGAAAATAGTAAATCTGTAAAACAATATTTAGCTAAGTTACCATTTGTGAATGAAATAAAAAAAATAGTAACTGATTGCGGAAAAGTATTTACATTTGGAGAATTTCATGAGTCGGCAAATGAGATAGGAATAACAATTAAACATACTACCCAATATCACCCCGAAGGAAACGGAATTGCAGAACGTGTTATAAGAGATCTAAAGTTATTCATGAAATGTTATGAAGATTTTCCTGGTGGTTGGATGAAATGCCTCAAGGCAGCTGTAAGGCATCATAATCAGTCGCATTCTGAATTTTTAGGTTGTTCACCATCATATAAGCTCTACATCAAATCAAAAGTTCTACAAGCAGATAAAGTATTAGGCTTGAATTTACAAATAAAGAAAATACCAAAATCGCCAGAACAACAAATGAAATACAAAGAGAGGGTTCAAAATCAAGCTAATATAAATAGAAAATTGAAACCACCTGAACTTAAAGAAGGAGACAACATTCTAGTAGGGTACCAGAAAATTGGAAAGGAGTATATAACGAAAGGTCCTTTCAAGATAACAAGAGTCCATTTCATCGATGGGATAGTAGCATTCGTAAATTTCGATAATGATGGACGACCAGAGTCAGCTCATATTTCTAATATGAGGAAGTTTCATCACAGGAGTGATGACTTTAAAGAGGGGAAGCTTTATAGTATATGAACACTATGTGTACCTACTTCTTTTTTATAAATTCTTATTACCATGGTGATATAAAAACAAGTATTGTAAAATTGGTAACAAGTAAAGTTATTAGTTAGGAATGCATCCTCTAGTTTCTTTATAAGTTTATTACACAGTTTAACACAGTAATGCAGTCTGTTCTCATGTTTCGTCAGTATTTTGAAACACTTCATTTTGGATTTCTCTATAAGCAGCAGTTAACTGAAAAAATCGAGAGGTGTTCAGTCTGGCTTCCGTGATGGTAATATAACATTTCTCTTCGACCAATTCATTTACACTCAACTCACTCAACCGTTGCCTCACATAAGAAAGTAGTGGTGAAACTCCTCCATCATGATAAGAAACTTGAACAAATCTTGACAAAAAAATTCAGTGACAAGGAAAAAGTTCTGGTCAATTTATTCGGGGATGGAAAATTCCAAAATTATGGACAATTTCGTCGTAATCTTCGATTCATTTTGGGATTTGTCTCTTCTCATACCACCAAAATACTAATCAACTGAGATTCTAACAATGCTTGATTTGTTCACAAAAAAGAAACTTTGGATGGAGATGAAAAACCGACATGTTCGAAGTGCAAAAACAATAATATCACTTTTGCAATTTTTTTTTCACAATTTGAGGTTATTTCTATAGAATATTTCATACAGGAAGGTCCAACTTAAACGAAACTTCTAAAATCACCTCCATTTCACCATTATGATTTGTATCGGGTATTATTTATAGTTTTCATTCAGCAATTCAAAAAATAATCACAAGGACCACATCTTTTGAAACTTCATTACAAAACTTTGGTATTCAAAAACCCCAAATTCCAGAGTTCAGAAAAAATAGTTTGGAATGAACGCCTTGTCATTAAACATCTTATCAAAATCAGTCAATTGAATAAAATGGATTCGTCCACAGGTACATACGTGAAAAATCGCGTATAAATAGGGCGGGGTTGGCGTTAATAAGTATTTGAAGTGTACAAGTCTCCTCATACAGATCCATCATCAAGTGGGAAGAAATAATTGGTGGAAACTAAACAAGGTCAGTACTTTTTTTTAATCACGGTTTCATTTTGTATGTGGCTCTGGTGATTACATATATCTTAGAGATTACTCAAAAGCAGATAATGAGAAAGATAATCTATATTGAACTAGATTATAACAATGCCATTAAAGTCAATTTGGGTGTTTTCAAACAGAAAAGAGATGTATTTTTTGCTTTGCTGAATGAACTATGGCAATAAAAAAAACAATCTATGACAATCTGAATGTTTCCAAATTATTTGTTCCTATTCAAACAAAGAATTTGCGAAAACAAAATGGCTGACCATCGATAACAAGCTGACGTAGACATGAGATATTGATTATTGTGCTGCTACATACCTGCTGCAATATCATTTCACATCGAATTTTTTGTTCAACGTAAACACTCCGAAACACAAAATCTGAAAATTTAGTGTCTTTTCCATTTGTCACTTTATTAAAAATATCTTCGACGCAAAGTTGTCTCACTGGATTTTGGTACACATATTCCAGAACAAAAAGCGAATCAGTCAAAATATCAACCAGAACTGATAAATCCTAGTATGTCTTGGGCAGATAATATGAAAAATATCATCAAATATAACGAAATCGGGAGAGATAAAATTGATAAAAATATTTTTTGTATATCTCCCCCATATTAACCAAAATCGACAATCATATCATGTAGATAGTTGTTCAATGTTTGATGAATATTGCACCAGTATACATCAACCGATATTCATGAAACAAATATAATGGTCTACACAGCTTCTTCTAAACTTCCAGGTCTATCCAACAAATGTTTAAAAAAGTGTATATTACCAATATCTTACCTAGGATCAACTAATTGTTTTTATTATCATCTCATAATTCAGCAATGAAAATGAATCGACAATATGCTCACTAATGATCTCAAATATGTTAAAGAGAATTGAAATTATGTTCACCTCACAGAACCTCTAGAAACTTATCAAAAACCTTGGACAGTTCTACCCCTCGATAGTGAGGAACTGCATGTTTGATTTAAACAAAATAATTGTAATATATACAATAATACCAACCATTGAAAGGAAAACCTGAATACTTCAAAAGCATGTCTAATGTGTCAAATAGTAACCCTTCATAATTCGATAGAAAACTAAAGAAAACTCTTCAGTATGAAAAAGAGGGAATCTATGAAATATTCAATAACAGTTTCGTCAAATAAAAAATTGAATATGTGTTTTTGGTACAACTGGTACTATTGGAAATCTATTTTTTTAATTCAGAAAATTATAAATTTTTAAGCATAAATATTGATATAAATTTCCAGTCAGGATTGACATTTTATATATTCAAATCCCAGTGACTTATTAAATCAATCCGCGGGAAAAAACGTCTTTTGATATGTTCATCAAATTATTTACTTTTTTCGTTAAGCTTGCATTCTATTTCTTTGATTGTCGAATAACATTCCTGTCAAAAAATGAAGTTTACATGAAAACCAAAATATTGAAGGGTCACTACAAATATTGCATAACCTCCTCTTCAATTCGTCAACACAACTCAGAAGTGTATCTGAGATTAGGAAGGAAATCAAAGTTTTTCTCTTTTCTCCAGATTGTGAAAGATGAAAATAGCCAATAAATGGTCGATGTGTCGTGAAATTGAAAATATATACCAATAATGAAATCAGTGTTATGTAAATTGATTGATTTTAAAATCTCGAGTGAGAAAAACGAGTTGGAAATTGTGAGATCATTTTACAGAAAAACTTGGGGTTTTACAAAAATGGGTCATATTTTAAAAATTCAGGAAAATTTCAGTCACCGTTTTGTATTTTTGTGGAGATTCATGAAAAACTTCATTTGTGAATAGATGGATAGATGTTAGCAACATAAATATTTTTTGACATGTTTCTTAGTTTTTTTCACCTACAGTGTCATCCCCAAAGTTATTTCTGATGAAAGTTTGTGCATCCCCTAAAACTAAACATGCACCAACAAAATACAGTAAAACACACGTAATGCACGAGGAACCTTCAAATATTTGATTTTGAGACAAGAGAAAAGTACTCTTATTTTGAAAAATGTCGGGAAATGTTATTCAGAAAAGTTGTTCAGCATTGAAAAATACATCTAGATTTGAAGTCATGGCCGTCCTTCTTTTGTACATTTTTTTAAATGGGGATCACGAAAAGAAAAATTTGCTGAAACGATAAATACACAGCATCCAGTATACGACGTTTCATTACAAAAATCTGCAATATTACAAAGGTGTTAACAAAAAATAAAAATAACTCGGCACCAAAAACTTTGAAAAAATTATTTTACTCTTCAAAAAATTGACCGTGGTCAACACCATAGTTGTGTAATTCGTAATATTTCAGGCTTTCAAAACGATCTCATACAGGATGTTGTCTATTTATCGTTTTAGCAATTTTTTTTTTCGTAGTGCACAGTTGAAAAAATGGGTAAAAAAATAAAACATCACTTAGATGACCATTACTTCAAATCTGGATGTATTTTTCAATGCTAAACAACTTTTTCAAATAATATTTCCCGAAATTTTTCAAAATAAGAGTACTTTACTCATGACCCAAAATCAAATATTTGAAGGCTCCTCCTATATTACGTATGTTTTACTGTATTTTGTTGGTCCATGTTTAGTTTTAGGGGATGCACAAACTTTCATCAAGAATAACATTTTCTCGAAAAACCCTTAATAAAGAAGTTTCGCATATGGTGCATACTTTGGGGATGACACTGTATAATAAAACGGAAAATATGATTTAAATTGGGTTGGAAGGGCTGATGAGACAGATTCAGAGACAGATTCAAATCACATCACACATGGTGAAAAAATTATTCTCTGGGTAATAAAACGAAAAAATGTCTTTGCATCCTTCACCTCATCAAGGTTCCAACAATCTTCATCCGACCGATTTCGAAAAATAACGATTCTGACCTGCTTTGAAAATAAAATCAAACCAAAAACAACATCTCCCCAAGACGTTAACTGGGTTAGTGAATTGTGCGTCGGAAAAAGTGTTGCAGTTCTGGTGTTTGGGAAGAAATCCACTGAACGCCAGTTCTACCTTTCATAACAAAATTGAAACTAACTTTATTCAAAATGTATAAGGAATCACACGTTGAAAGGTAAGACCTCGTTAGTCCTTAGCTCGCACAAGTTTCTCAACTTCTGAGAGTTGTCGTTCGTATGGGGGCGACAGCTGATTATCGGAAAAACAGATTTTGAACAGAAACAGATGTGGTAAAAAGTTCTGGATTACAGAAACAGATTCCATCATTATTTCAGAATTTGACGAAATTAATTTTACGTTGGATTCGGAATTATAATCTATTTCCTTGAGCAGCCGACTAATAAATCATTTTCAAGTGGCTGTTCAAACAGTTTATTCTTCAATATGTATTCAAAGTTATTTTATGATTCTATATAGCAAATCTCAAAAGACTTTTTATTGTTGTATGTAGCGGTAAGTTTCGAAAATATGGAACACTCGCATCAATAATTGGTGAGTTTTTTTCAATGAAATACCTAAAATTGTTTTCACTTTTATATTTTCATCGAAATTTTAATTTTTTTTTAAGAAAACCACGCTACTGCAGATACCAATCGACTTGAACGCCCAGTAAATATTTCATTCGCTATACAAAAATAGGGTACATCTGTTAAAGTATTATAAACCCGCCTATAACATCTGTGGCAACTCATAAAGAAATCACAAACTTCATTTTGAGCACTCACATTAGTTCGCTTCACACCATTCTTTGATTTTAAAAACATTTTCCAGATCATTTTGTAATGTATTCAGAATATTAACAGTATTATGCCTTCGCAGTGACGATGTGTCTTCTGCAAACATAATAAATTTTCCTGCTCAGATATTTCATATGCAAGATATGCATATTGATTGCAGCCAAAATATATTCATTAGCGTGAAAAAACATAATTCCAACATTCATAATTAAATCTAAAAATATAAAACGCAGTAACTCGATTTATTTTCAAATTTCTATGGCAAAATAAACTCCGGTTTGATGCCGGGGGGGGGTTATTAAAAAAATATTCATTAGCTATCCTGCGATTGATGAGTTTATGAAGTTTTCTCAGCATGATGAGTAAACTGAGTTAGAACCGATACAGGCGAACAATTTCCAAGCATATACAAACTAGCTTATATGAAAATCGAATATTGAGGAATCCATGCAATTTTTTTGTTCGGAGTTCTCAAAAAATCCTAAAAATCAACTTACATGCATTAATTGTTCGCTGGATGAACTGATTTCACTATTGAACTAACAGTACCTGGATTATATAACGGAACATAATCATTTTGCATCTGTTACATCTGAACTGATAAAAGCGAGTTTGTCTTTGGGGTTGTGATTATAATGTTGACAAGATAAATTTTATAACACCTGATACATATCTTTACTATTATTAAAGGTTAAGGACGCAATAGATAATACTAACAATATTTAATGAGGAATTCCCTTGGAGAAATCGAAAAAAATGAGGCATCGCCACAGGAAATGACACAAAACATCCGTCGATACATCACATGCGGCATCCATCTTGTTCAAATAGTAAGATGGCGCTGTGCGGTGCCAGGTGAGCACTAATACGCTGTAACGGATGAGTAGGTATCATTACACATCTAGACATAAGCGCGAGAAGATTACATTAGTTATTTGTGAGTGCGATATGAGCGATGGGTAAGTACTACCTGTTTGCTGAATATTTTCCTGAATATTTTCCCCCAATTTTTCGATTTCTGCACTACAATAGTAGGTGTGTTTCAAAAAGCGTTTTTTTTTTTATTTTGGGAGACTTCAAAATATTCCTTGAGTCTAGAACCCACAAGTGAAATGTCTGTGACAAAAGGGTATCATGAGAGTTGTCCACTACTTTACAGTGTTTCACGATAACTTATTCATTATTTTCTCAAGATCTCCAAAATATATGAACTCAAAATATATGCTGATATGAAAATGACTACATTATATTAATAATAGAGCTTAACGCCAGAAGTGTCTTGTCTTCTCACAATAATTAGGTGATTCTTTCAAATCTTGATTATACCACAGGATTCAAATTTTATGATCTTTTCTAGTGTGTTCACAATATGACGAATTTAGTACATCTACCATTTGTGGAAATTTATCAATAATTTGAAGTGGGCGTTAATAAAAATGTGAATAATAAACTGTTTGGATTGGAAGCGTTCACACGATTTCCAGGCTTTCGAAAGCATCCAGAAGAGCTTCAGCATTTTGAAACTATGTACCCTCAGTCTAATACCGATCTCCGGGGTTAATTGAGCAATAGTAGACGTCTGTGGTCTACGAAACGATTGAAACGTATTGAAACGATTATTATAGACCGCTTATATGACTTACAACACTTTTTCCTGTGCTCACAGCTTACTTAATAAATCTCAGACTTTTCAGTTTCCATAACTTTATATTTTCTTCAAGATTTACAGTAAATGAGCAGTTGAAAGATACTGTGATGTTCAGTTTCTCACTAATTGTCTATTTACTTCTGGTTCGTATGGATGACTCATCATCTTTGTGAAACTCAAGGATTTACGAAGGCAGTATCTGAATTTAGATTTTCTAGTTGACCTAATAATATTCAGAAGATTTCTAATAAACCCAACGATATCCAATATACATATACAGGATATTGGATCATTCGTATGTCCATAGGATATCTGTTCCATGTCCATCAGGATATCCACTGCGGGGGCTGCTAAGTTGGACTTCCATAGAATATTCGTAGTTGATCGCCCATGGATATCCATTCGATCCATTGAAAAGCACTGACTTAAACATCTACATCAAGTCACCATTGATGTTATCGTCGTACTTGTTCGTCTACTATGTTCAATGTATCTTTTGAATTACGTATTAGGAATCCCGTTATAGCCATGCTTCGACTTGCCAACAATATCAATTTACCCATTAACGTGGATTGGAAATTACCACAAAGTACCTGTCGTCATGTCATTTTGCATCATTTAGTGAATATGTCACTGTAGAATTTATTATCATTATTTACCAAGGGTGAGAAATAATAATTCTCGTTAGGGGAATGGAGTAAATAATGGCAATTTCTCAGGTCAGTAGTGAAAAAAATATTTCATTGATTATTTTGTGGATGGATATTTTTTAAGCTAAGTTTTACATATTAAAAGAATATTACGTGCTTGCTGGTTAGATGTTTATTATTAGTACATGTCTAACGCACACTTAACACTGAGCGTCTGTCCGACGAAAGAGGAGAAGCATACCTTCCGCTGACGTAAAGCTGCCGGACTGAGTCATGGTCGGTGAGAAGACCCCCCCTCAAGATGTGTAGTAAAAATCTGTTATCAGTCATTTAGATTATACGAGCCGTAAACAGCCATACTATGTAAAATTGCAAACAAAAGTTTGAATATCAATTTGCCTTCCAAAGCTCTAAAAACACTAATGATGCAATCTTTTCAATTTTGGAAAAAATATACATGAATCTAAATGAAGGGGAGGCAATTTCGGCAGGTTTCTGCAATTTTTCGAAAGCTTTTGATTGTGTCAATCATGATATACTTAAAAAAACTGTACTGTTATGGTATAAGAGGGACATGTCTTGAATGGTTTAAATCGTACCTCAAAGGCAGATTCCAGCTGACGAAAGTCGATGATGTGTATTCTGACATTTCGTTTATAGATTACGGAGTGCCTCAGGGATCTGGTCTAGGGCCAATTTTATATCAACGATCTTGCTACAGTCGATATCAAAGGATCATTCACAATTTTTGCCGATGATACAACATTGTTATGGCATGAAAAAATACTAACAACTTGACACTAGATTTAGAAAAGGTTAAATAATAATATGATTCTAATTTACTCTCCTTCAACGTATACCAGACCAAAATTGTTAAATTTTTATTTAGCTATAACGACTTGATATTGGATGGTAGGAAGATAGAAGAAACGTTTCACATTAGATTTCTTGGTCTGCATATCTACTGTAGGGAACATATCACATCTTTATGCACAAAATTGGCTTCAGGATCATTTGTTATCAGAATCGTCTCCAATGAGCTTGGTATATTCACTGCTAGATTGACTTACTTCGCCCTTAGAGTCTCATCTAAGGTATGGCATTGCATTATGGAGATTATGTAGTAAACAACTATTGAATCAGGTCTTCGTGTTGCAAAACATATCTTTGTGGTTTTTATATAAGGCAAACTATAGGGATAGTTGTAGAAAACTTTTCGCTAAATACCGATTCCTCACTCTATTCAGTATCCTCATTCTCGAAGTTGTTTGCTTGATTAATAAAATATTTAGCACTGATTCTCCTGATGCACATGGAATTCACAAAACGAGCCAGAACAGTAGTAATAATATCCATCTGCCAATACCCAGATTGACTTTAACAAAACACTTTAACATGTACCAAGGAAAAAATGTTCAACCATTTACCACGGGTAATTAGGGACATAACAGAGAAGGGACGCAAGTAAATATTCTCAGTCTTCTGTCAAGATATGTTTTTATTATTATTATTACACTTATGTTCTTGTTTTTATTTCAAACTAATATGTGTATGTGTTGGTTGAATTGCATTTATAGTGAACATGCAAGGTTGGTTTCTTTGCCAAATATGTTTGACATATTCTTCACTTAATGTTTTAGTTATTTATATTTTATATTTTCATCGCACTTTATCAAGGAGAAATTATTCTTGTATAATACAGTATATTCATCCATCTATCTATCTATTCCTTTTTTTCCAAATACTTTCTTTGTCATACACCGACCCAAACTCTACGGTGATACGATTTCACCCACCGATCATTACTCAGTTCGGTAGCTGTATGTGTGAGAGAAAGGGAAGCCAGACAAACTGGCGCCGTTATGCGTCACGTTATCAAGCGGTTTACCCTCCCATAAGAAGTTATAACTTCAAAAAGTAATTTTCATATGGAAACGCGCCCCTTTTACCCCCACGGGGGGGCGCCCCAGTTAGAATATTTGAAAATCCTTTCTTAGTGCGTATTTAAGACCTGAGGAGCATTTATATACCACATTTTAGCTTCCTAGGACTAACCAGTACGGAGAAAAAGAGATGGATGAGTGAGAGTTAAGTGAGTGACTTTCGCATTCATAAGTATAGATTCAAGAGAATTAAATTCACAAATATCTATCACTACGGCATTTCTTACTCTTTTCACGATATCTTAGTACACACATGTGATTACGAGATGATGAATAGTTATCAGTATAAAAAGCAGTAATTTCTGTAAATTTCTCATAAATGTTTTTTTTTATCTCAGATATTTATACCAGCTGACAAGTAAATAATTTGTTCACATAATCGACTGTGTAGATGATAAAAAATTATCAATTCTGCATCATGTAAATCCCACACGATGGAATGAAATGAGGAGAAATAAGTGCTGGTCCTTTCCGTCAAGAGAGCTTAAATATTGATAAAAAATGAACACCGGAGATTCAGAACACATAGATTCTAGCAATAATTCCATTGCTGTATCGCCTTCGATAATATCTACCACATTTTTAGACGAAACGTTGGACACAAAAATCTGTATACCATAGCTATATTACCCGGCTACAGCAAATAATGGGTTGAACACTGGCCGTGAAGGCCTACACACCATGATCAAACCCAGATAATTCGTATAAGTATTTTATTTTACACAAATCAACCAATTATGTTACAGTTGTCTGTAAAAATATAGCTGTTTGTTGTTTTTTTTTTATAGAAGTTAAGTGGGAAACCGAAATATGAGCGACCAAATATTATTGCAATGTAGTTTCAGTGTATTCAAATCAGGAATTTTACAAATATAAACTTGCGATTTCATAATACCAACGGAAATTGGAAAAAAATATATACAAGTAAAAACACTCTAACAAGATGATGGAAAAGTACATATATAATTAATCTGATGGTATTATAAAAAATAGCAATGAAGATGTCTGTCAGAACTTTCTTTAGTACGTGAAATATATTTTCCGGGATTTTTTGGCCGTGGTCTGCAGATTTTTATATTTGACGTTTCGTCGACGACTGCGGTAGACATTATCAAAGGCCCGAATGGGTGCTCCCGTTGTTACAAACGTATTTACTACGATGATAGTATTTTTTTCCCTTTATTGGATCACCTGACCTTGTGCGTGTACCGGTAGCCAGACTTTATTGATGTTCATTGCCTCTTTGTTTTCTATTGAAATTATTTCTGTGTTTTCAAATTTTCATTGCCTCTCTATCAAATATTACTGTATCTTCGAATGAGATAATGTGAGTGCCTTTTTTGTTCAGAGCATGTCCGAGTCTACAGTTTCTCTTATGTTCAGAGAGACGGGTACCTAGAGAGAGGTACCTAACGAGAAACCCAAGAGACTCTAGCTTTTTCGGATATTCTTGTGAACAGGTATAATGATGGTACATTGGGCCTCATAGTGTACAGGAAACCAACACACACTCGAAAGTCTTCCTGAGGAACTCAATCACCCACTCTCAATGCCTTCAAAGAGAGTGGGTACAGCGGAGGAGAATTCGAGCGGAGTCATGTGACCCACAAGAGA